CCAAGGTGGTAATCCAAGCAGACCCAACACTGTGTGTAAGAGCAGAGAGCAGATTGCTGGCTCCTCAGAGGGACCCGGGGCCATAGGCCTCAGTCCACTTCTTAAAGAGAGAAGCTTCACCTCCCAGGGCCCCAGTGTCTGAGTCCCTAGAAGCCTTCTCACACTGGAGGAAGCTGGTGGTGCTGTTGAGACTGCCTCTGTCTCTTCATCTCTCTTGGAATCTGTCTGCCTTCTCTGTCTCCATCTCTGACTGTGTCCACACAAGCTAAACAAAGTGGAGAACTGAAGCGATAATCTAGACAATTTATATCAAAACCCAGTTGAATCAACCATCCATTCCAATTACCAGGATATGTACTTGCCCAAATCCTGTGGGTCATCGCTTGAATCCTCCACAGACAGAGCTTGTATGGACGCTTCAGTCCACCCGACCGTCTCTCTCATCTGAGTCCTCTGATTGCACTGTTTCTCTTTCTCCTTCTCACTCCGTGGGTCCCTGTGTCCATGCTGTCTCTGTCTGGCCTGTTCCCCTCCACCCTAGTTTGACTATTACAACTCGGTCCTGATCAACGAGAGGGATGCAAATGGCAATTATGTGGAGCTAGGGGCTGAGTTCGTCCTCGAGTCCAACGCACACTTCAGCAACCTGATGGTGAACACGTCCCTCAGCAATGTGCAGCTGCCCACCAACGTGTACAACAAAGGTAGTCTCCCTGTCACCCCACAGCCTGGCATGCTCTCAGCCACCTGGTGCTCGTTAGGGTGGTGCTGGTGGTGCTGAGGAAGTATAATTATTTGCCTCCACAAGTTCCTAAGAAATCCTGCAGGATGTAACCTGATTCTCCAACCTCCATGACTGAGAAGAAGAATCTTTCCACACAAGCCTTGGCCAAGAGAAAACTCAGTGTTTCTAGCTTAGTGGGTGTGAGATGTAGAGGAAAGTAGGAAACTACTTCACTGCAGACTATGTGGTGTGTGCACGTGCGCACAGAGGGTGAAGAATTGGTCACTGTTGCTCCTGATTTAGTTTCCCCTGCAGTTCTATAATCTCACCCTTTAGATCCAGATATTTTAAATGGAGTCTACATGTCTGAAGCCTTGAACCCTGTTTTTGTGGAGAACTTCCAGAGAGACCCAACACTTACGTGGCAGTATTTTGGCAGCTCAACTGGATTCTTTAGGATCTATCCAGGTAAGGACATGGGAGGCATCTTCAAGATCTTCTGGGTTTTATCTCTGGAAATAAGGAAATAGGGACATTGAAGATGGACCCTGAAGTTCAGATCCCCAGTGAATGAGGCTGGCCTTCTTATCCAAAAGCACCTCCAACCCACACTTTGACACTCTTCACAACATGATATGCACATTTTCAACAAATACCCGTTGAATGAATGAATGAATAAATCCATCAAACACTGTGGTAATCAGCCAATAAATGCCCACATTGGACTGTTGCCCCATGAAAAGCATTGTGGAAGATATAAAGGAGAATAAAACAATTATTGATCTTAAGAAGTTTTTATATTTAATTTTTTAATTTTTATTTTTCACTTAGAGTTGTATTTTATATTAGTTTCAGGTGTACAGCATAGCAGTTAGATATTTATTAATTTATAAAGTGATTCCCGTGATTAGTCTAGTATCTACCTGGGACTATACATAGTTATTACAATATTATTGACTATATTCCCTATGCTGTACTTTACAACCCCATGATTATTTTGTAACTATCAATTTGTACATATTAATCCTTTCACCTTTTTCACTCAGCCCCGCAAACCCCCTTCCATCAGTTTGTTCTCTGTATCTATGAGTTTGTTTCTGTTTTGTTTCTTTATTTTGTTCCTTAGATTCCACATGTAAGTGAAATCATATGGTATTTGTCTTTCTCTGCCTAACTTATTTCACTTAACATAACAAACTCTAGTTCCAACCACGTTGTTGCAAATGGTTAAGATTTCATATTTTTATGGCTGAATAATTTTCCATTGTATATATGTACCACATCTTGTTTATCCAATCATCTAGTGATGGACACTTAGGTGGCTTCCATATCTCGGCTATTGTAAACAGCGCTACAGTGAACATTGGGTTGCATATCTTTTTAAATTAGTGTTTTGGTTTTCTACAGATAAATACCCAGAAGTAGAATTGCTGGGTCATGAGGTAGTTCTATTTTTAATTTTTTGAGGAAACTCCATTTTGTTTTCCATAGCGGCTATACCAATTTGCCATCCTACCAACAGTGCATGAGGGTTCCCTTTTCTCCACATCCTCACCAACACTTAATGTTTTTTGACCCATTGATGATGGCCATTCTGACAGGTGTGAGGTGATATCTCATTGTGGTTTTAATTTGCATTTCTCTGATGATTAGTCACGTTGAGCATTGTTTTATGTATCTGTTGGCCATCTGTATGTCTTCTTTGGAGAAATGCCTATTCAGACACTTTGCCCATTTTTAATATAATTGTTTTTTTCTGGTGTTGAGTTATATGAGTTCTTTATAAATTTTGGATATTAACCCCTTATCAGATGTATCATTGGCAAATATTTTCTCCCACTTAGTAGGTTGTCTTTTTATTTTGTTGATAATTTCCTTTGCTGTGCAAAAACTTTTTAGTTTGATGCAGCCCCATTTGTTTATTTTTTCTTTTGTTTCCTTTGCCCAAGGAGATATATCAGAAAAAAAATATTACTAAGAGCAATGTCAGAGAGTTTACTGCCTGTTTTTTTCATTTAGGAGTTTTATGGCTTCAGGCCTTACATTTAAGTCTTTAATCTATTTTGAATTTATTCTTATATATGTGTAAGAAGGTGGTCCAGTTTCTTTTGAGAAATCAGTTGACATTCTTATGAGAGCACCATTATAAATAACTAGTTGCCTTTCTCTTGCCACTTTTAGGATTCTCATTTTGTCTTTAACCTTTGGCATTTTAATTATGACATATCTTGGTATGGGTCTGTTTGAACTCATCCTGTTTGGGATTCTGTGCTTCCTGGACTTATATGTCTATTTCTTTTACCAGATTAGGGATGTTTTCAGTCATTATCTCCTCAAATGTGTTCTCAATCTCTTGCTTTCTCTCTTCTCCTTCTCACAAATGTTGGTTTGCTTGATGTTATCCCAGAGGCCCCTTAAATTATCCTCCTTTTTAAAAAAAAAATTTTTTTCTCTTTTTGCTGTTCCTATTGGGTGTTTTCTGCCACTTTGTCTTCCAAATCCTTGATTCAATCCTCTGCTTCATCCAATCTACTCTTGATTCCTTCTAGTGTATTCTTCATTTTAGTTATTATATTCTTCATTTCTGACTAGTTCTTTTTTTATGGATTCTATGTCCTTTTTTATACTTATTATCTCTTTGTCAAAGTTCTCACTGATCTCAGCTATTCTCCTAAGTTCACTGAGCATCCTTATAATCAGTGTTTTGAACTCTGTATCTGGTAGGTTGCTTGCCTTTATTTTGTTTAGTTCTTTTTCTGAAGTTTTTTCTTGTTTTTTTTTTTTTTTTTTAATTGGGGGCATGTTTCTTTGTTTTCTTATTTTGGCTTCCTCTCTGTGCTCATTTCTATATATTAGGTAGATCTGCTACATGTTCCAGTCTTAGCCAGATGGTTTTATGTAGTAGGTATTCCGTGTGACCCAGTGGTGCAGCCTCCCTGATCACCTGCACTGGGTGCTCCAAGAGTGAACCTTGTGTGGTTGTGTGTGCCCTCTTGTTGTAGGTGAGCCATGATTGTTATTGGCACGTCAGTGAGTAGGATTGACTCTCAGGCTGACTGGCTTTGAGGATTGGCCTTGCCCACAATGTATGAGCTGCTGTATAGGGCTGACCTCACAGAGTAGCCCATAACTAGCCATTGGTTCTTCTTGTAACAGCCCTTCAGATGTTCAAAGACAACACACAGGTCCCTCAAGTCTTCTTCTGGGTAGAATTCCTGTAAATATTCTCGCTACATCAAGGTTTCCAAAGATGTCAACTTGTGTGCAAACAACATAATCCAGGTGTGAGCCATCAGTCTTAGTTATGGAGAGGTCATTTCTCACACCCACATTCATATTTATACATATCAACCCTCAGGTGGACAGTATGGGGTTGGTCATAATCCTTGATCATGCTACACTATACCCATGAGTCCGTGCAGGCCCATTGCTATTTATTTTATTTATTTTTAATTTTATTTATAACATAATAATACCCGTATATACATCACCAATACAAAAACTGGATTAGTAATAACTTCTTTTTATATATGTGCTCCTTCTCTATCCCATCCTTTCTCTCACCACCCCACCTTCTCCCCATCCCTCACACCACTGACCAGGTAATAGTTTTCCTTAATTACAAGCTTATGACTCTATTTGGATTTCTTGGTATTTTGTTTAGTTATTTACTTTTATCTTATGTTTACACACACAAACGCGCGCGCGCGCCTGCTAAAACAACATACTGTTTTGTTTTGCTCATGTATGAAATTTTAAACCTGTTTTCTGGTATAAACTTTTAGAACTTGCTTTTTCATTTAATATTATATTACCAAGATTCATTAGATTGTCACATATAGCTATATTTTGTCATTTTTGTTTCTGTGTCATATTCTTTGGGGTCAATATATCTGTTTTATATATATTTTTCCATCATTTTACTTCCAACCTTCTATGACATTTTGTTTTAGTCATATCTCTTGAAAATAGCTTATAGCTTTTAAATTTTTATCCCATCTGAAAATCTCTTCTACTAGTTGGAAGTTAAAACACATTTACATTTATTGTATTGATACATTTAAACACGCTTATCTTATTTTTTAAATTATGTTATTTTTTAAATTTCTACTTGTCCTTACATTTTTCTTTTCTTTTCTTTTTTTTTTTTTGTCTTTTTAAATGATTAACCTTTTTTGATAAATTTCCCATTACTTCTCCTTTTTACTCTCTATCAGTTTAGAACTTATTCCTCTGTTTTTGTTCTTTTAGTAATTACCCCCTTATCAGGCATATTTAACAAGATGTTAATATTAAATAATATTTTTACCCTCCTCCAGTCAAAAAAGGACTTTAGAACTCTTGCACTTACATCTCCTTTTTCACCCTGATTTTCATTCTATTGTCATCTAATAGTTCCCTTTTTATCTCCACAAATTAGATACTATTACTCTTACTTGATACAAATATTGCTTGGTTAGAATTAACTATTTGTTTACCATTTAATTTGTTCACCATGCCTTCGAGTATCTCAAACTGTCTTTCTAAGATCCTTTCTCCTTGAAGTAAATCCTCCAGAATTTCTCTTATAGCAGGGATCCTTAAACCCCAGTCCATGTCCTATTAAGAACTGGGCCACACAGCAGTTGGTGAGCAAGCAAAGCTTCATCTATATTTGCAGCTGCTCCCCAGTGCTAGCATCACCGCCTTAGCTTCACCTCGGATCATTAGGCATTAGATTCTCATAGGAGCACAAACTCTATCATGAACTGCAAATGCAGGGGATCTAGGTTGTGCGCTCCTCATGAGAATCTAATGCTTGATGATCTGAGGTGGAGCTGAGGTGGTGATGCTAGAGTTGGGGAGTGACTGCAAATATAGATTAACAGCAGAGAGGTTTGACTGCTCAGAGACCATAATAAGTCAATTGTTTGCACTCTCATACCAAAACCTTATCAGTGAGTGGCAAGTGACAATTAAGCTGCATCTAGTGGCAGGCCTCATGTCAGAATCCAACACTTACTTTAGTCTGCGCATGGCCTGCCCATTATTTTATTTACCACTTCCATCCACGCCTCCTTCCCGCGCTACGCACTTGTCTCAGTCACAGTTCTGGTAAGCCCACAAGCAAACCTATGCCAAAAGGAGTAAAAAACAAATGTCACTAGAGAGCATCTTTGAAAAAGGGGAAAGACCCAATGATGAGACAGCAGAAGACTCTAAGACTGTCAACAAAAAGAAAGCTGCATTTAAAAGAAAATATCGAGTCCTACTTAAATTACAGGTTCATTATAACAGGTGATTCACATTCTGCAAGCCCGCTTCATATAATATGTGGTGACCAGCTATCCAATGAAGCCATGAAAACTTCAAAACTGCTTCACCACATGGAGACCAAGCACCCTGCATTAAAAGACAAGCCTCTGTAGTTTTTCAAACTTAAAAAAAAAATGTGAACATGAAGAACAGAAGCAATTATTGAAGGCCACCACTTCATCAAATGTGTCTGCACTGAGAGCATCATTCTTAGTGGCTAACCGCATTGTTAAAGCTAAGAAGCCCTTTACTATGGGTGAAGGAGACATAAGTGAAAAGTTGATCCTGCCTGCTGCTAAGGACATTTGTCGTGAACTTTTAGGAGAGGCTGCAGTTCAATAGGTGGCACGTGTTCCTCTTTCGGCTAGCACCATAACTCGATGAATTGATGAAATAGCAGAGGATTGAGACACAGCTGTTAAGCTTAATGAGACACTGTGGTACACAATCCAGGTTGATGCATCTACCAACGTTGACAACAAGGCAACGTGCTTGTTTTTGTGAGATATATTTTTTTGGAGGATGTACATGAGGATATGTTATGTGCACTTTTGTTGCCAACCAACACCACAGCTGCAGAACTATTCAAGTCTTTGAATGATTACATATCAAGAAAACTGAATTAGTCATTTTGTGTCGGTATATGCATGGATGGAAAGGCTGCCATGACTGAACGACTTTCTGGTTTCACTACTCAGGTCAAAGAGGTCGCTTCTGAGTGTGAGTCTACGCACTGTGTCATCCATAGAGAAATGCTGGCTAGCTGAAAAATGTCACCTGAACTTAACAATGCTTTGCAGGATGTGATTAAAATTATAAACCACATTAAAGTACATGTCCTTAACTCATGTCTGTTCATGCAGCTCTATGAGGAGATGGACACAAAGTACACGTCTTCTCTTATACATAGAAGTAGGTGGCTTTCTAAAGGCAGATCACCAGCCAGAGTTTTTGAATTATAAGAACCATTTCAGAGATTTCTTTTAGAAAAACAGTCACCACTGACAGCACATTTCAGTGACACAGAATGGATCACGAAACTTGCTTACTTGTGTGACATATTCAACCTGCTTAACCAACTCAATCTGTCACTTCAGGGGAGAACAACTGTTTTCAAGTCAGCAGACAAAGTGGCTGCATTCAAAGCCAAACTGGAATTATGGAGGTGACGAACAAATGTCGGAATTTTTGACACATTTCAAACATTAGCAGAAATTTTCAAAGAGACTGAGCCAGGGCCTTCTTTCTTCCAACTGGTGCATGATCGCCTATCTCAGCTTTGAGTTTAAGTTTAAGCATCACTTCCCAACCACAAAAGACCCCAAACTGGGGAAAAATGAATCTGTGACCCATTTGTGAATAAGCCAGGCGAATTGACTTTGTCCGTGCTAGAAGAGGATCAACTGTTTGAGATCGCAAATGACAGTGGCCTTAAAAGTATGTTTGAGACAACTTCAAATCTCCATATGTTCTGAATTAAAGTCAAGGCAGAGTATCCTGAGATTGCCACGAAAGCACTGAGAAGCCTGCTTCCATTTCCAACATCCTATCTTTGTGAAGCAGGGTTTTCTGCAGTGACAACAACCAAAACGAAATTACAAAGTGAACTGAACATAAACAAGACACTTCAGATGTCACTGTCTCCCATCACCCCCAGATGAGACTGTCTAGTTGCAGGAAAACAAGCTCAGGGCCCCCATTGATTCTGCATTATGGTGAGTTGTATAATTATTTCATTATATATTACAATGTAATAATAATAGAAATGAAGTGTACAATAAATGTAATGTACTTGAATCATCCCAAAACCATCCCCTCCTCACTCCCAGTCCATGGAAAAATCGTCTTCCACAAAACTGGTCCCTGGTGCCAAAAAGATTGAGGACCGTTGCTTTGTAGTAGGGCTCTCAGTGGTAAACTGCTTCAGTTTGTGTTTATCTACAAATATTTTCTTTTCTATTCATTCTTTTTTTTTAATTTTAAATTCATTCTTTTTTACTTTTGCAAGTTACACAAATCATTTCCTGTTGTCAGCTTATTTAAGTAGGAAAAAGCAAATTCGATTTCTTTTTTCTTGGAGACAAGTGACTGACTAAGCCTGCAGTTAATGACATGCCCCTGAGGAATGGTTTACAATAAATAATAGCTCAGGGGAACTAAAACTCCCAAGTAGAATTTAGAAAACAATGCTAGTTTTCTATCCTTATTATTGAATGATAGTTCTGCTGGGAATGCATTTCTCAATTAACAATTATTTTCTCTCAGCACCTTAAAACTGTTTTTCCACTGCCTTATGGCTTCCAATGATGTTGAGAAAAATCTGCTATCAGCTTAACTACTGTTTCTTTATGAATAAATGTTCTAGCTTTTCTGGCTGCTTCCAAGGTCTTTATTTCTTTGCCTTTGGAGTTCTGTAGTTTCACTACTACGTGTCTATATGTGAATATCTTTTTATTTATCCTGCTTGGGATAGATTGTGCTTCCTGAATCTGTGGATTCGAATTTTTGTATCAGTTCTAGGACATTTGCCGTCATTGTCATTGTCTTTGTAACCACCGTCTTTCCTTGCGGTCTCCCCTTTTTTCTTTCTACCTCGCCAGTCAGACATATATTGACCTTCGTATTCTAGCCTCCACAGGATTCTGGATAAATCTTTTAAATGCCTGAATTTTCTCTTTACCTGTGAATAATCCACAATGCATTTATATTTTTCAACTTAAACATTTTTTTCATTTACAAAAGTTGCACATTTTTCAGGCTGTTTCTTTGTTCCTAATAATTTCTTGTTGTATACTACTTCTTTGTGATTTCTCCAGTGTAGCTACCCTATGAATTGCATTTGGTAGTTCCAACACCTGTAATCCTTGGAAGGATGCATCTGGTGATTCTTGCTTTGGCTGCCTCTCACTTATAGGGGCCTGTTTCTAGTGTCTTTGGCCACCTTTGTTTGTGAGGCGATGGCGCTTACATTCTGTGGGAATCCCACAGGCCTGACCTGGAAAAGCTTTCCCTCAAGAGGCTCACTTCTGTTTCTGTATGGAGTTGAGGGTGCCCCTACCCAGGGTCCTGTTTGGAGCTAAGAACCTAATGCAGTTTGTCCTCCTTGATACTGTCCTAAGGATCAAATTTCCCACAACTATGCCTCTACAGGAATGTGGCCTTTGGGGACCCTACTGCTCACGGCTGCAGCAGGTCCACATCAGAGCCATGTGACTCAGGCTCCCACTGCACCAGCTCTGCCCAGAACTTTGTCCTGCTTCCCTTTCCAGGCTTTGCCTTCTGGCTGCTCTGGCCCCTGCTCCTCACCCTTGGAATGCAGTTCCATTATTTTGGTTTTGGGGACATAATTTCTGAAAACCTCTCCTACCTTTGAGAAACCAGCAATGCTTCAAAGTGTGTATCTCATCTGGACTAACTGCTGTGGAACAGGAAGGTCCCTTGGAGCTTCTAGACATCCATGATACTGCCACAATTTTTTTCTAGCCCAAACACAGTATAATATCATTTTACCTGTTGTTTTTAATCTTATTTTGAGCCCACTCTTCCCAATTATTAAAGTCTTTTCAAATAGAGATTCTATCGTGGATTATATTAGTGTTCTCTGTGCAAAGTGTGCAGTTATCCAAATTTTTGATTAGATGAATAGGACCAAATCTACCCCAGTACATTACGAGTGGGTCAAGGCAAGATCTTTCATATTCATTCATTCATTCTTTCTTTTATATAAGAAATATTTATTAAGTATTAAATCTCCTAGGTGCTATACACACACTGTGCCAGGTACAGGCAGATCTTGGAGATAGTGTGGGTTCAGTTCCAGATGACTTCAATAAAGCGAGTTGCTTTATAGAGCGAGTCATAATCTTTTTGCTGGTGGAGGGCCTTGCCTTCAATTTATAAAAAAAGCAACATCTGTGAAGCGCCGTAATGTAACGCACGATAAAACAAGGTGTGCCTGTGCTTGGAATCCCCATCCTCAAGGAGCTTGCAGCCTATAGCCAAATCATTTCTCCAAGCCAGCTAACAGGAAGGACTGTGAGCACTAACAGGCTTCCTGACTAGAGGCAAGTGGACTAGAAGTCAGAACACCTGGCTCTCCCGTCATACTGTCCATGCTTTTGCATGGTAATGGATGTTAAAAGTCACACCTTCCTGAAGCTTCTCCCCCTCCACAATTCGATGTGATGTTTAGTTTACAAATGAGTCCCAGGAAAAACATATGGGAGTCCAGTCTATGAAATTAACCCCGACTCTGGTTTCTGGCAGTGTAGATGGTGAGTGTCCCACCATAGAACTGGCCTCCCTCCTTGCCTGTTGTCTAGGTTTACAGGCTGTTCTACACCCTGCTGCCAAGGTCCACAGCCTGCCCTGCCCTGGGGGTCATGGCCATCCTGGATGTAGCTCCCAGCCAGGGGCTCTGGAGCAGCCTCACTGAGCTAGTGATAGAACAAGCCTTTATTTCCCCAGGCATCAAATGGACACCTGACGAGAATGGAGTGATTGCCTTCGACTGCCGAAACCGTGGCTGGTAAGAGCTCCCAGGGAAAGGCCTCTAGTGCTGGCATCTCTCTTATCGCCTCTGGGTTTTGCCTACGTCTCCTCCAGTCCCTGCCCCCGCCTCCATCCAAGGGCCTCAGACGTGTAGAACCTTACCCCAACACACGTGTGGAAAGAAGCTGCGTTCTTCCCTTCTCCCCAGAGCTGCACTTGCTCCAGGGCTAATCACATTTGTCTTTCTCACCCTGAAGCTCCTTCCAGGACACTGAGCTGCCTCTGCCAGGCTCTCCTCTCCTTCCACGCCCCTCCTCTGACAGATCTGTAATGGAATCTGAGGGTAGAATCCAGTTCTCTCCTTCCCTGCTGCCCACCCCTCTGGGACCCTGGCCAGAGGTCAAAATTCCCACCAGAACTTGACCTTTTTCCCACCAGACAGCCAATTAGATGGGCACATGCCTAACTGTTGCCCCCCAAACGGCTTCAGAACTATGCTGAGTTGTTATGGGACAGGATGCAACCTGGCTTCGATGGGGCACTGACCTAGACTTTGGATACAGAATTCGAACAGAAATGACTGGAGACTTGGTTGGGTGGTTGCTCTGGCTTTCATTTTCCCATTGTTGGTCTGTCCCTTTCTATCTGCTAAAGGTACATACAAGCTGCTACTTCTCCCAAGGACATAGTGATTTTGGTAGACACAAGTGGCAGCATGAAGGGGCTGCGGATGACTATCGCCAGACACACTATCTCCACCATCTTGGACACGCTGGGAGAGAACGACTTTGTTAATATCATTGCGGTACATGTGCTTTCCTATTCTAGACTAGCTCTTCCTTGCTCTAGAGGAAACTTTCTTCTGCCTGCATGGGTTGGCCTATCCTTACAATCACGTGATGCTTCGTATTGTAGAATGATTCTCTCCTCTGAAGCTGGGGCTCCTAACCTAGGGTCAGACGAAGGATGGACTTCGAGAGTCCGTAGAATTTCTGAAATTATGTGTATAATGTGTATGTCCATCTTTCTGAGTCCATAGAGTTCATCAGTTTTTCAGATGAGTCTAGGATCTAGTAAAGATTAAGAGGCACTGGCCCTGAGTAAACACCTGATTTATCCCATCCACGTGCTCTTGACTGGCACCCATCACTGAACAGCTTCTCTGTTCTGCTGCAAGATGAGTGACCCCTGGGCTCTTGCTTACAACAACCCCAGTTCTCCCAAATCCTTCATCCCACCCAAATCCAGACACATCGGGAAAAAGGAAAAAGTAGGTGGGGAGTGCCTAGACGGGCCAACAGATCCTAGTCCTGCTTTCACAGCAGTTTTCCTGAGGCTAACTCTGCCTGCCCCCAGAAAGGTAATGACAGAGAGGGATAAAGTGAGAAGAAAGGGGGCATGTTAGGAGAATGCTTTCCATTGCAATGGAAGAGTGGGCCAGCGCAGCCCTCCACAGAGGCAGAGTCGACAGCTATCTAGGGGTACCAGTTTAAACTTTTGGGTACCTGACCCAAAAGTTTCCTTCACCAGACAGTCACATTGCTGAAAACACTTATCTTTAGTGGAATTTACTTATCTAGTAAAGTAACATCAAGGCAAAATGGTCTAACTTCAAAATGGTCATCCTGGGGGTGTGAGACTGGCCCCCCTTATCCCTGAGCTGCTCCCCTGAGGCCTGTGTCATTTACCCACCTGCATCACTCCTGAACCCCATGCTCCCCATTTTCACCACCTCTCCATCCCTATTCCTGACCTATAGCAGTAAAAGAAAGCTACATGAACAGGTCATACCACTCCACGAGAGTTGAGTGTGCTCCCGCTCCTCCCTGGAAGCCTTCTGGTCCCTCACACCCAACTCTTCCTCCCTACTCCTCATCCCAGTTCTATAGGTGTTTAGGGAGTAGCAACGAGGGGAAGCATGCATCTCCAACATTCCCCCGAAACACCCCAACATTCTTTCTAGGACTTGCATATAGTCTTGCCATGATGTCATTGCCAGCTCCCCTTCTCCTCCTCTCTTATTTAAGCAGAAGTAGATTAAGGGCACCTTGAAGATTTGAATTTTAACTATGGGGAGGTTAAGAAAAAGGAGCAGCAGTAATTCATTTTTCTTTCTACTCCTATCCCCTGTTGATAGCTAAAGGATTCTCTTCATAAATGCAGGGCAAAGAGAAAAAAGCACAGTTTCTAATCCTTGGACCTAGGCACTGGGGAGCGGTCTGAGCCTGGATGGCTCTGGGATTCCTGTGGACAGCACTCTGTCTGGTCTTGGTGGCAGAGACCAGGGGAATGCTCTCAGTAACTTGCAGTTCTCTACGTGTGCCCTAGGAGATGGACATGACTCAGCTGGAAATGACCCAAGACCAGGATTTGAGAAAGAATTTTTAGAGTTATGACCCTGATTTTTTCTCCTACCTCTCTACTCAGAAAAACTGCCAAAAGCATAGGGTACCCCAAGATAACATACACAGGTGCTTAGGTGACCCCAGCCCTGACCACCCTTGGGTTGCCTGAGCTTTGTGGCTGGGCCCTGACTTTCCAAACTGACCATGTCTGTTCTCTTCTCCCCTCTACCCTCTACAATTGCAGTACAATGACTACATTCATTACATCGAACCTTGTTTTAAAGGGATCCTTGTTCAGGCGGATCGAGACAACCGTGAGGTGAGTGCCCCTATCAGGTGAGTGCCTGATGCTTCCGAGCCCGTTCTGGTTTGAATAGTGGGAGTCATCTGTGTAGCTAGCTGATGGCCCCTTTTATATATTCCCATGGCACTTGCAAAGGGCAAAGCAGGTCTGCAGGTAGCCACGCAAACACACCCAGGACATTGCACCCATGCCTGCCTACCACAGCAATCTGAGCAGAGAGATCTCCCATCTGAAGGAAAGTTTACTTCTTCAGGACTGTTTTTTTTTTTAAGTCTGTGGATTATCCAGGACTCCATTTCCCTGTGGCCTCCACTGTGGGCCTTTCCATTATGTCAGTTTTCATGAAGCTGCCCCAAAAGGAGGAGAAATTCCAACCTATTGTGTTAAGTCCTTTTCAAAGGCCAAGATGGAGAGGATGTGGCAACTTTTTTTTTCAAGGGAAAGTGTGCATGTCACAGATCCTTTTCTCTGTGACTGAGGAATTCTGGTTTGGCTTCCTCTTGAATCCCAGCCTTGAGTTGGAGCCCCCAGAGGCCTCACTGCTGGGGTAAGAGCTGGGATGCTGGGGACCTGGGAACCTGGGAATCGGCCTGGACTGGCCTCCTTGCTCTGGTTGGACTCACACTGCATTTCCTTCCAATAGTGGGGATAGATCTGCACCCAGCTTCTCACACTCTCTCAGTTTATCTTGGGAGCATTTGAGAAACATCTGTGGTAGGGGTTTAGCCGTGAAATTAGCTGGGTCATGGAGAGATGGTCCCATGATCATGTCCTTCTGGGCAAATAGCTCTTTCCAGCCTCTGAAATTAAGACCAAAGATGAAGGTTCCCTGGTCCACTTGATCCACTGACCCATGTCTGGTTTCTTAACCACAACAGCATTTCAAACAGCTGGTGGATGAGCTGATGGTTAAAGGTGTGGGGGTTGTGGACCAAGCCCTGAGAGAAGCCTTTCAGATCCTGAACCAGGTACTGCACCTGAGGAAGCCCAGGGGGAGTGGAGGAGTGGAGGAGTGGAGGAGTGGGAGCAGGCTGGAGGTGCGGGGAGGGCAGTTCATAGCCTGTACTCATGGAACCACCCTTCCCCTACACAGTTCCAAGAGGCCAGGCAAGGAAGCCTCTGCAACCAGGCCATCATGCTGATCACTGACGGGGCTGTGGAGGACTATGAGCCAGTGTTTGAGAAATATAACTGGCCGGACCGCAAGGTTACTCTCCAGGTGGCAGTGGAGGGGTGAGGGATGGGGGCCGAGGTGAGCGTCCTCCTACTCCCATGATGGCATGGCCCAGAAAAGCCAGGCCTGCCCTGAGCTCACATGGTCTGCCCATTAGCCCATTAGTAAACTCAGATGTCCCAGATTGGTTTTCCAAAATTATGATGACCATTGGCACAGAGGACTGGAGTGAGAGGGCTTGGGGTAAGAGACCAGAATACGGTGGCGAGACGTGAAAAAGGCTGGATTGTGACCTCCACCCTCTACCAGCCCCGCATTCACCATGGCCTAGGAAAGCCCTGTACTGCCGTGGCCCCAGGTCCTTCCTGATCCAAAGGCATGAGAGTGGAGACTCCAAAGTCAGCAAAATGCTTGACTGACCTTGAAGACGAGCATAAGTTATGTTAACACTACTCACGGCCAGGAGTTACAGCCCTAAGTCCATCTGTGTCTTGTGGATTAGGTCCGCGTTTTCACTTACCTTATTGGGAGAGAAGTCACTTTTGCTGACCGCATGAGGTGGATCGCGTGCAACAACAAAGGTAGGTGACGAGGGCAGAGCACCTTACAGCCTGTACCTGAGCATAGGTGGAACAGCATTACCCCGTCACTGGAGGTGCTTAGCTATGTATGGCTCTTACTTAGGCCTTGCAGAGGGGTGGTGCTGTATCAAGATGACAGTATCTACCCCTCCTTCTCATTTGGGAAAAGCAAGACAAAATGCAGATTGCTCTATAAAGCTTTGAATAAATGCTTGATTATCCCTGCAGGGACTCTAAGTCATAAAGTCACCTGAAATGCAACTTATAAGTCATCTAAGTGTTCAGTATTTGCAGAAGAGAGAACTGTCTCTTCAAATAAAGCCTTATAGAAACCACAATATTGACATAGTGAGGCAGGTATGGGGCTGACATTATTTTTGTGTGCGTGTGGTTTATAATCTAATTTTACTCATATTCTTATAATTTATAGAACATTCAGAGTTGAAAAAAATCTGCTTTTAATATTCCAAAATAAAGCAATGGTAATTAATAAGACATTATTAGCAGGAGATAAAATTTCAGCTCCGAGTATTTTTCAGGAAGCTCCATTTAAGAGTTCTTATCCAGTGGGTTTTGGGGCTGACGTTATAATGTAAGTTCTCTCTTGTGTCCAGATTCCATTCTTCTTGCTGCAAATTAGGCCCATTTACTCTGACTCTACTCTCAAAGGAAAAGCAGAGGGTCACCATTTTCTTTAGAATGTTCGTATGCAAACAGTCCTCATCTAACTCTGACCAGAAACAAGACTTGCATCTCGGGGTGCCAACTGGGTTTGATTCACTCCAAATTTATGGAATACCTACTGTGCACCTGACAAAGTTTTCAAGTTGTGGTCAGGATGGACTCGGTCTTGCTCCTGCTGCCATCCAGCCAGGGAGACGAACAACCGAACCCATCAATAACAATGTAATCTGAGGGTGGGGAGGCACACACTGTACAGGATGCTGGGGGAGTGATGGGAGGAGAGGCACTTCTCTCATCTGGAGGTGGCAGGGGACGTTTCCTAAAGGAAAAGCTGTCTAAGCCGAGACATACGGAACTGGTAGGAGTCAGTCAAATATACAGAACGGGGAAGGGAATCACAGAGGGAATCACATGTTCTAAAGATCTGTCTGATTCCCTCCAGACAGAGGGAATCACATGTTCTAAAAATCTGAGATAAGAGGCATCTTCCACTTTACTGAAGTGTGGAGAGGTGTTTTGTGGGAGGTCATGAGCAATGAGATCAGAGAGGTAAACATGTGCTAAATCATCACTATGGCTACAGCAAAGAGGCTATGGCACCCCTCTCCATAACTGAGGAAGGGAATCAGTCAGAGGAAGGAGGAGGTGGGGGTTGTGGCTGCTGTCTTAGATTGGGCTCCCTGAAAACAGACACTGGAACAGAGTCATACGCAGGAGGGAGACATCCCTGTAAGGAAGTGAGAAGGGCAGTATTGCGAGAGAGAGAAGCTGACCCACAAGGCCCTTGCAATTAAGGCCCTGCTGTTTTCATGGCAGTTCTAGGGCTGGGAGGACCCCTCAGAGTTCTGCCAAGTTGAAGCAGGGCCTGGGCCTTTGAATCCCCATTAGCTGGCCTCCAGCTGTCCCCTAGGAGAGGGACAACCTTGAAGAAAGCAGTTCCCGATAGCCCAAGGCAGCTCCCAGTGAGGGGCCCAGCTGTGAGCTGTCAGTAGCTGGGGAGAGTGTGAGCCACGCAGAGGGGTTTCACATGGAGCACCCAGCCTTCCACAACCACATGGCCCTTCCCTCCTCCAGGCTACTACACACAGATCTCCACGCTAGCAGACGCCCAGGAGAATGTAATGGAGTATCTGCACGTGCTCAGTCGACCCATGGTCATCAACCATGACCACGACATCACCTGGACAGAAGCCTACATGGACAGCAAGGTGGGGACCTGACCCCACTCAGAGTTAGGGACCCCAGGGAATAAGACCTTACTGCTTGGGTGAGGAGAAGTGTGAGCAGATCACCTTGGGAAATATTGCAGAGGCGGTGTACACTCTCTCCCACTGCAGACCTATTACCTGTGTCCTGCCCCAGAGGCCCAGAACCCTGTGAGCAGAACTGCCCAGGGCTGCCCTCCATGGACAGAGGCCCTCTGCTCCAAACTTGTTCCTCCCTCCTTCCCATTGTCTTCACCTCCTTCATTTTCCTCTCTTCTGCCTGTTGTAGAAAAAAAGAAGTCCAACCATTAATTCAAAATACTATAGCTTTATCAAGTATATCCCCCTTCCCAGCCCCTGAACTTTTAAAGAGACTGCCTGTAGGCAGCGGTGACTTACATGAAGGAAGAGATATCAAAGGTAGAATGTCAGATGAGATGTTTGGGGGAACAGGGACCTTCCTGGCACCTCTTGAATCGCATCACAGACACAGATGCCTGCTTTAATGGTAACATATCAGACTGAGATTGGGAGACACCTGGAAATAGTGGCTTAAATAAAAGTGTATTTCTCCCTCATGTAAACGAAGTATAGAGGTGGGGGGGGGGTAGCCCAGAGCTAAGGAGCTCCCTGTTCGCCCGAGACCCAGACCCCTTCCTGCTGTCCCCTTGGCCATCCCTGCAGACCTTCTGGTCCAAGTGGCTAGTGAAACTTTAGTCAACTGAAACCACTCTCTTCCAGAAAATCTTACTTCTAAACTCTAACCTGAAAAATCAGTTGAGGAAGGGGAGGAGACTTGATTAAAAAGTTCTTCGTTCTCTGAGACAGTCTACTGTAGACGTCCACGGCTAGGCAAGCTCCTTTAGTTGATCCTGAGGAAGGTCAGCTTTATCAGATACACCTGCATGCACCACTTTTTGGGGGCCAACTTCATGGCAGAGTAGGGGCACATGTGGAGCCCCTTCTGAGGGGGCTGGGGGAGCCAGCACAGTGAGACGGGGAGTCAGGTAGGAGGGCTGGGAATGCCATGGCTCTGGCGTTCTGAGTAGGGAAGAGGTTGTGGGCCCATCTCGTGTGAGGGGTGACCCGAGGTCGGCTACAACTATACCATGGCCTGCTCTCCCACTGTGGCCCTCACACGTTCATTTGTGTTTGCAAATAACTCTTAATTGGCCTGGGCTGTAGTTTGTGCCATCCTTGGGTCCATAGCAGAGATCTTTGGAAGAGTTCTTGCTGTGCTAAACCTCTTTGTTCCTGGGCATGCCCAGGATGGGCCTTTTCCATAGGTTTGCACACATCCAAGGCAAGAGGGCTTAGTGAACATGCTTAGGAGCTGGGCTGTGGACTCTGGGATCCTGAGACTCACCTTGGTTTAGGATTTCCCTTGCTAAGTGACGTCAGCCTGGTCTTCCTCCCTGGCCCACCTCTCTCTCCAGCGTTTCTGCCAGCTATCCCTTTGCAGAGAATGGAAACCTCATTTGGGATTTCTTTCTCCCATTCGAAAGTTGACATCAGTGACTCTGGGTCCTTCACACTGTGGACTCTGAGCCTTCTGTCCTTTGTTCTTTCCTCCCTGACAGCTCTTCACCTCGCAGGCACAGAGCTTTATGCTCCTCACCACCGTGGCCATGCCAGTCTTCAGCAAGAAGAATGAAACGGTGAGCAGCAGCCTCCTGAGAAGCTGCAGCAGGGATTAGAGCTTGAAGCCATCATCGGCATCTTTAGACCAGTGGTTCTTGGCTTGGCTGGGCATCAGAGCCACCTTGGGAGGGTTGTAAATGCAGATTTGAGGCCCTACGCCCAACTAGGTACACCAGAATCTCTTGGTTGAGAGGGAGTTGGGTTGGTTCAGGCCTCCCAAAACTTCCCAGTGATTCTGCTCAGCCAGCTTGGGGTTGTCCCACTGCACTGCACTTGGGACCACTGCTTTGGGGTTATAGGACCAAAGGAGTCACCTGCCAGCCCTCCAGCAAAACCACACTTAACCTACCCATTTGGGCCAACTCAAACTTGTTTGTTAAGTCCTCTGGTGAAGGAATTTCTAGAGCCTTTTATCCTCTATCCAGTCAGGAAATGCTTCCTGATGGGCACCGTGTGTTTTGGAGCGCTCACAGATTTGGGTCCCTGGGATCACAATCCTTCAGCTTCTGCTATGAAGATTAATATTTCATTCAACTTTGTATTTCACTTAAATAGTACAACTTAAATATTAATACTGGACATTAATTTTCCCAGCAGCTGAGATTACTCCTGGGGCCTCTCTAATAGGTTCTAAATTTTATACTACAGAGCTCACCCTAAAATCTAACTACAGGGGAAGGACCACGTAAGGCCTGGGTGGCTTCCTCTTCCAGGCTCGGGGAAGGCCAAGGTCCAGTCTGGCCCTGCGTTCAGGGAAGGCAGGTCTCACCCTAGTCCTGTGTTTTCTCTTCCAGAGGTCCCATGGCATTCTCCTGGGGGTGGTGGGCTCTGATGTGGCCCTGAGAGAGCTGATGAAGCTGGCACCTCGGTACAAGGTGAGCCTGTGTCAGGTCCCTGAATAGGGGTAACCGGCTCCCCAGGAGCCCTCCCACCTGACTCAGAAACCTCTCTGCAGGCAGTGCAGCCAAGCCCAGAGCTGGGATAGGGTCCTGTCATACTGCCCCCCGAAAAGTGCAGGCAATGAACATGGGAACGGTGGCTTGGATTCCTGGGACCCTTTGTCACCACCAGCTCTGACTTGCTCTGTGGCCTTTAGCAAGTTCCCCCCCTACCTGGTGCCTCAGGCTTTCACTCTGCTCCTCCACGCCACATAATCCTGTTTTGAAATGAGTGAGATTATATCACCAAAGCACCTAGAGTACGTGGTGGGAAAGAAGACACAAGTAATGATATACATTATTATGGCTGCCATGAACAGTAGATTTTGGAAGAATTTAAAAATTAGTGGCCGGAAGCACAGCACTGGCTCAGTTATATTTCTATCTGAAAAACTCACTGCTATGTGCTGCCATCTTTTACCACCCTGCAGCCCTACACCCCTTCCCAACTGCAGTTCTCCAACACAAATAACAACCTGTCTTTGTAGCTTGGAGTGCATGGATATGCCTTTTTGAACACCAACAATGGCTACATCCTGTCACACCCTGACCTCCGACCCCTGGTAGGTACAGATCTTATTGGTCTTGGGATCTCAGTTCTATGAGATTTGGGGTAATTCGTAAAAACAGTTAAAATAATGAACACAAACTGGGCTCCATTTAAGAACTCAATGGCTAATATGAGAAAAAATTAAATCATAGTCCCTGTTTTCAAACTGTTTATAATCTAGCAGGAGAGACAAGGCAAAAATACATTAAATAATCAATGAACAGTCCGGAGAGCATGTGATGAAGTGCACAGTTTCCCTGCACAGGACATAGCCACTTACGTTCCCGTCACTGCCTCAGTAGCTCCACACTCCACGCTGGAGTCTGACAGTGGTATCAGCAGATCTCCTAAAGGGGTGTGAATGTTGAGTTAACAATAAAAATGTCAGAGGAGCTGTCTTGTGAGAGGTGAGACATTTTCACATGCATTCAACTGAACAACAGATGGCCAAGGGAGAAAATTCCATCATTTTATCTAAAAGTTCTGCCTCCAGGGCTAAGGGCTCCCTACTGCCCTACCTCTGGTCCTGGCACTTGGCCACTCTCCACAGCAATAATGGCCACACTTCTCAGTGTTATTGTTGCCCCGGGTGTCAGGGAAAGGGGTGTTAGAGTCCTAGAGGAATCTAATTCTTTCCCCTCTGCCAGTCTTAATACTGAACTGAGGTGGCAGCTAAGGACAATAACTAGCAGAGCCCCTTTCCAGAAACTTACTAAGGGGCTCATCTACCCCAGGTGCCATTTGGACCCATCATTCTAAGCCACATTCCATTCCATGTGGTTCAAATAGATACTGAGTATCCATAAGGCAACTGATTGAGCTATTTAAGGCAAACTATAGAGGTTCAGAGTAAAGAAAAATAGGACGACCTGGAAACCACTCTGTCTTCCCAATTCAGACTCTGCTGGGAAAGCATCTGAACCCATAACTCGTCACTGACCTACACCAGCGGATTCTATAGGGGGAGCCCCCGTGCCAACAAATGACTCAGTAGGGAACTAATAAATGTTGATCCTGGAGCTGACTTGTAGAATGAATGAGCATTGGTCAGAAATCTATCTATCACCACCTATGTGATCTAGATAAATATAAAACTTCAACTAACCAGTTCATATTATAGATCTACTGTTTGTCTAACATTACAATACTCTGAGAATACTATGAGCAGAAGTTTATAGTCTATTTAAGAAAAAACACTATACACAGATAATCTTATACAAATGAAACAATTAGAGAATAATACCATGTAGAACATTATTACATAACAAAAGATATGGTAAAGCCAACTTAATGAGACTGCTAAAGAAAGCACTATCGATTTATGATAGGTACCAAGGAGAATGATGTCGAGTTTTAAAAATAAAAATAATAGAAGATATGCCTAGTAACAAATTGAAAGAAGGTCAAGAGCCACACTTTTAGCCTGAAGTCTTTCTACTACAGTGCCCAAAATATGACTAATTAACAAAGTGGAATTATGGTTCTAATGTGAGACGCTAAAGATGAACTTTCAGGTATCATTAGGCACTAGGAAATGGCGCTGAATAAAGAAAGTTGCACCTTACTCAAAAGCAGCAGACCAAGCAGCAGTGCCAAGGATGGCAGGACAGTGATGTTTTCATGAGTGTAGACACAGTTAGGCTAAGAATGGAATATCATTCACATATGAGCAAGGAGAAAAAGAGAGAACAAAAGGGAGACACTGCTATAGCAGTTTTACTACAGATTTCCCGCACAGGCAATAAATAAGGATGAGGCTTTCTTTAAAAAAGGAAAAACTAACAGAAGTAAGATACACAATACTAGAGAACTGCAACCATCCAAACATCTGTAGTGGGTAGGGAGTCCCATTCTGCTAAAAGTAAACCCTCTGATTAATTCTTAACTTACCCGATGAAAAACTATAAACTATTCCCTTTATTTGATCTATTACTAAACTAGACTAGGAAGTGGTGCAGACTTAATAGCAGGTAACTTCTTGGTATCAAAAAGAAATAGAGAGAGACAGAGGGAGGGAGGAAAGGAAAGAAGGAGGGTGGGACGGAGAGAGGTGTCAGGGCCACAAAATAGTAATCCCATTCAAAGACTGTTGATTAATGGCTCTGTGTCAAGGTAGAAAGAGGTCTTTATTAGACACTGAAGAATCTGTCCTTGGCTCTATCCCATTCAAAAATTCTATCAACAAAATGAAAACACAGAAAGCAGATGCTACAAAGTCTGGAAGGTATGGCTAATACATTGAGAAAATCAATATTCGGAGAGTATTTTTCTAATAAAACTTATAAGGTGAAATATACTAGGGATGCAGGGAAAGTTCTGCAAAATATTCAATGCTCAAGCATAACATTGTAAAGATGTAATTTAACAGTGTGTCATGTGAGGAAGGCCCAGGAGACTTAATGAACTGAAACCTCAATTTGTGCTGTCGGGAGGTGTGGCTGTCCTGGAAGTCCAGCAGAATCAGAGGCAGAGTCAGAGCTGCATGATATTTGGTCCACATAGGCCATACCACACTGGCCGGACCCCATCTGAAATATTGCCTTCTGTCCTGGGCACCCCATTTTGGGAATGACACTGACAAAGCAGAGCATGTTCAGAGGGAGCTGAGGCATTGCAAACTGGGAATGTTTAGCTTGGAGAAGTGAAATCTTGGGAGTACAAGCACCTGCAGAAATCTCAAGGGTTCTCATGTGGAAGATGTTCTGTGTAGCTCCAGGGAAAGAACTAAGACCAATGGGTAAACGTTACAGGGAGGTAAATGTCAGCTCTATATGAGGAAGAACTTTCTAATAGAGCTGTCCCAAACTATGACGAGCTAACTCAAAAATAAGGAGCTCTTCGTCATGGGAAATATTCACTCAGAGGCCATGAGAACGTCTATCATGAATGTTGACCAGGGAAGCTCTGCCTTGGGTGGAAAGGTGGCCCAGATAACCTTAAAGGATCACTGAGATTCTCTGATTTTATGAATATACTCAGAAGGAAGGCTTTATGGAAGAGATGAAAATTGAGCAGGGCCTATGTTAAACTGATGCTTTTCTTCCTGACCTGCCCACTCCAGTACAGAGAGGGAAAGAAACTGAAACCTAAACCTAACTACAACAGCGTGGATCTCTCCGAAGTGGAGTGGGAAGACAGAGCTGAAATCGTGAGTGGGGAAAGGGGAAGAAAGAGGAGCTGATTTAGCTCTACAGTCAATACACAGGCTGGCTGCATGGCCGTAAGCTCTGAGTTCGCACTGTGCTTCTCAGCAGAGCCTTCCCCAGCCCAAACCAGAAGCAATTCCTGTAATGGGCAATTCTTTCTACAACTATAAAAATATAATAATATTTTCCTGAATCACAAGGATTACTGAGGCTACATAAGCTCATGCCTCTAAGTACAGAGTTTGAGTTCTAGTGATGTTTTAGTCTGACTTTTGGTGCCAGTAGCTCATCCTAGAGGAAATTATGTCTCAGTAATATGACACTGTTCCTTCACATATCAGTACACTTTGGAACATTATCTTGGTGAATTTCCAAAATTATAAGCTAAATGAAACCTAGAATTAGGTCTCTATTCCCTCCTGGTATTCTGCTCAGAGGAAAAAGGGAAGAACCAAAAGTGTTCCTAGGGACCACCTCCCATCTGTCAGTAAAGCTCAATACCTTCCACCCTCCAGCATGAGCCAAGGAACTAATTCCATTATCTTTCCTCTCGAAGCTGAGAACAGCCATGATCAATGGGGAAACGGGTTCTCTCTCTATGGATGTGAAAGTTCCGCTGGACAAAGGGGTAAGGTACTAAAGAGAAAGAGCCAGGGTCTGGTCCCACAAGGCAGCATTGCTGTTCATTGAGGTTTGGGGTGGTGATAAGGAACTTGGATTTAGTTGAATTAGAGCTAAGACTTGGGAGCTTGCTGTAGCTTAGAGGGCTTAATCAGAGAGCATCTCCAAGTATGTGCAATAGCCCCAGAGAAGCATCTGGCGAAGGAACTATCACTCACATCAATGCTTGGTTCTTTGGTGACTACTGAGTGAGGCAGTAGGTTAGCCCAAGTCATTTACAACTCTTTTTTCTTCCTTATGCTGCCTGCTATTTGGCCCTTTTGTTGTTTATGGTGGAAAGAGTAAAAGTGACAGTTAATTTTCCAAATTGTTAGCAACTCCTGTAAAACATATTACATGGGAAGAGCTTGAAAATAATTGCTACTCCCTGTAGCTGATTTTTATCCACTGTAACCACAAATGATCAAGAATCGATACCCTCACTGACACCATTACTGTTTTCACAGACTTGCACATTATTTATAAAAGATCATTTCATCTTCTCATTTTAAAGGTTCCAATGCATTTGCAGTGAATTTTCATTGTCCCTTGACATATTTACAAATGTCACCTCCTCCCTCACAGCCACCCCCACCTCCTCCTCCTGTTGCCCATCTGCCTCAGCTAAAAGAACACAGGCATCTGTCTGCAACAATTAGACCCAAGTTCTTCTACAAACACAGACCTTTATGAAAGCCAAACAAGAAAGCATTGAGAAGTAAAAGCAATTTATTGCATTCCTTTGAGATTCATGGGCTGATTGTCACTGGGACCAATATCTGGTTTTTGTGACATCTGCCTGTTTCTTACAAGTTCTGGGCTGAGAAAGGCCTTCTTTACACAGATTGGGCAATGTCAGTGATGTGAGGCCATCAGTTGCAGCAGCTGCTTCTCCTGATCCAAAAAAAATAGAGGTTTCTTCCATGTACCTCCACCTTTCTCCCAACCAGACTCTTGCTCACATGCACAAGGGAGCTCTCACCTCACCCAGTCCTGACAGAGCATTTAAAGTAAGACTTATTTGGGGGTAGTGATAAGGAGCTTAACTTTGTCTTAAAGTTGCCTTATGTTGGGGCATGTTAAAATTTTCATTGCTACTAATAAACCATTCAGGTTAAATTTGCAATTTACCAAAGGCTTCCTTACACACAGGTGCTTAAACAAAAAGAAGTAGGGTGAAGATGATAATGTTCAAAACTATGAAGAACATTTTATAGCACATAGTTAGTTGTTCATGCCTTACTACTACTATTAATAATAATCATAATAACAATAGCAGCTAACATTTATTAGAAACTGGATGAAGCACTTAGTAAATATTCATTCAGTCACTTAACACAACTCTATGAAGTAGGTACTAACCTATCCCCAAGTTAGAGGTGAGGAAATGCAGAGAGGCTAAAAACTTGCCCAGGGTCACCTAGATTATTAATTGCAAAACCCACATGGATCTGACTCTAGACCACATACTCTTGACCATTACTGTATAAGGCCTTTCTGAAGAACTGGCCCTGAATTCTCAGTTTACTCTTCAGCCTTGAAGATTTCTCCTCTTCTATCTCATCATATCAAAACTCAGCCCTCTTTAATCTTTCAACACTTTACTCTCTCACCCAGAAGCTACTGCATCTGCACTGTGTGTAAGACATTTTGCTGGTATAAAGGCCGCTATGGTGGTGTCCAGCCTCTCACTGCTCTGATGTATCATGAGGCCACTCTTCCCCAATGGTGCTCGTTTTGCTCACAACCAACTGCTCTGTCTCCCTTACATGTCCTTTTTCACAGAATCACAGGCAGTCCCCTTGTTTTCTTGCCCTCCAATCCATCTCAGCCCTCTCTCAGCTCAGCAGCATGTCTCACCTGACAAGCTTGTTCTTCAGTAGAAGCATTTTTCAGATATAGGCCAAGGGAAGCTTTCTTAAAGCATATGAAGAAATCAGTTATCATTCAACCCATCCTCCTGGCAGGTGATAACTTGTTTTGTTGTTTTCCCCAGGGATTGTACATGCATCCTTATTTCCCGTGGATCAATTCAGACCTTCCTACATCTTTCCTAAACTCCAGCCAGGCAACTATGGTGACATTACCAAGGACAGTAGTAGCAACCCCAGCATGATTTAGAGCAGGACTCACAAACTCAAAAACCTATGAAGCCAGAGAGGCCATGTTCAGAAATGTGAGTGAGAGAAGCAGACAAGCCTCAGTACTGGGCGAGCTGGGAACTATAACAAACTGGAGAGTACATGCACCATCTAAAGGAGACAGCCAGGAATCCATATTTTTAAATGTGTCCAACTAATTCCAAAAATGTTAAAAAACACAATTTGGGCCAATATCTATTATATCAAGCTTGTAATGAGTCCAGGTTTGGCCTGCAGGCCTCATACTTGCCACTTTGATAGCCACTGTTTGCCCCAAAATGTGGACTAGGTAACAGTTATCATAATTTTTAACCCATCAGTAGCATCTTGGTCAGATATCCTGGGACATGTTTAAAAGAACAAATCAGAAAAGCAGAGTATCCTGGAGCATATGATTCAGGATGCTTTTTATTATTTTCACGTTGTTTAATAGAACAAGTAATCAGCAGTGGGAGAGGAAGAAAGGGAGACCTGATATTCTTTACTAGCCTTCAGGTTCTTCTGAGTTAACTCTGCTGACTTGGATGCATGATATATGCACACACGTGTGCACACACACAGACACATCAGCAGCTGGTATAGGGAGTTAGGGCAGCTTCACCAGTGCCTTCTAATCCCTATGTTCTGGATTTAAGGAGACAGGATTAGAGTGCTCTGTGGTACACTCTTGCTCTCTCTCACGTGCTCTCTCTCTCTCTCTTTCTCCCTCTCCCTCTCCTTCTCCTTCTTTCCCCCCTCTCCCTCCCCTCATACACTCACACACATACCCACACACTTTCTTTTTCAGCAGAGGGGGGATATCTATTAAAGGGAGAGATTGTTCTCACACCTCTTTACTTTCATCCTCCAAACCTCTCTAGCTCTCTCTGTTAACAAAACTCAGGTATACCCCACCCCCTCCTTCTCTCTTCCTTTTGCTTTAGTCTTAAAAGATGCTCTCAAAGTTCTAATTTCAGTCATGAGGGTGTAACTTGCATTAGACTAGCCCTCCACCAGGTGACAATTATAAATCTGGACAAAATGTAAAAAACAAATATTTAAAGGCACATGAAAGTGGCCAAAAGCAGGCAGAAACAAGGGTTGAAAAGGGGATTTCAGCTGCTGCTAGTGGGGACAATCTGGAGTTTGAGTCATACTGAAATGGAGAAGCTTAGTAAACGCCTCAGGATTTCCTTTGAAAGCACAGAAGAGCTGCACTATAGGAGTAAAGACTAAGTGTCAAGACCCAGGGATTCACCCTAGACCTAAAGACAAAGTTGAAACAGAACCACCCTAACAAGCCTCCGCAAGCTCAGGGTAACCGGACAATCATTTATCTGCTGATTAAAGTAAAACTCATCACTTGTCAGAGGAAGAAAATGTGTCTACAACCTATTCTTCATAATAGCCAGTATTATCAGACATGTGAAGAAAGAGGAAAATGCAACCCATACATGGTTAAGAGAAAAAGCAGTACTAAAACTGACCCAGAAATGACCCAGCTGTTGGAATTAGAAGGACTTTATGATAAATATGCACAAGGAATTTGACAAAGATGGTCATAATGAGTGAATAGATAAAGAATCTCAGCAGAGAAATGATTAGGGTTTGGTCAAAGAAACAGAACCACTACGAGTGATATGAATATAGAGTTTTAGCCCAGGAGTTAGCTCTTATGAAATTGTGGGAGCTGATGAAGAAGTCTGTGGAAGCCTGGTGTCTCAGCATCTAGTGGTGACCTTGAAGACATTGTAAGTCAGCATGGCCAGCAGCTGGGAAGGAAAGCTGAGCAATATGTGTGGGAAAGCAAGAACAAACTGGAACCCACGAGGGAAAACAGGAACCCAGGAGGAAAAACTAAAACCTACATCTGTCTCTGACTACTTCCAATCACAATGATGTCAGTGGCCTGCAGAAGGAGCAAGTGCCCTTCACATGGAGCTCGCGTCCTTCACATGGAGCTCGCAGGACTCAGATCTCAGAGAACCTGAGAACCTTTGAACCTGGCTGCTGCCCCGTGCAGTGAAAGTCAGCTGACAGCTCAGAGCAGCTGCAAGTGCCTGGTACTTATCTTTAGTGTCTAAAATGGTTGTTGCTTCACTTCTGCCTTACAAATCTCATGCAAACTTCTCTTTCAGCAAACCCTAAGTTGGAATCATACAGGGATGTGATTCCAGAAATGTAGTTCCAGCTTAGTTAATATGACACAGTATAAAATTCCCATAAGAACCAAATGGAATTTCTAAAATTTAGAGAGTACAATGTCTGAAATGAAATTTTTACTGAATGGTCTCAATAGCAGATTGGAGGAAAAGTAAGACAGTGATTTTGAAAACATATAAATTAAAATTAACTAATCTGAAGAACGGAAAGGAATATTTGAAAAAAAATTGAAAAAAAATTATCCCTCAGTTTCCTGTTGTCTGCTCTATGTCCTTAGAGTCCCAGAAGAAAGGAGAAGTAGAGTAGGAAAAAAGTGTTTGGAAAAATAATGCACCAAATATCCTAAATTTGGTGAAAAGCATCAACCAACAGATATAAGAAGCTCAGCAAACCCCAAACAGGATAAAAAGAAAGTTAAAACCACACCTAGGTACACTATAGTACACCTGTTTAAAAAAAAAAAATCAAACTTAAGGGAAAATCCTAAAAGAAGCTAGAGGAAAACAATAATAGAATGATAGGCAACTTCTCATCAAAAACAATAAAACGACATTTTTAAATGCTAGAAAAAAAGACTGTCAACCTAAATTTCTATATGTAGAGAAAATATATGTCCAAAAGAAAGGTGAAATAAAGACATTTTCTGATAATATAGAACAGAGTTCATCACCATCGGAATGAAATGCTTAAAGAAGTTCTTTAGGCTGAAGAAAAATGATGTGGAAGGAAACTCAGATCTACATGAGGAAATGGACAGCACAGGAAATGTTAAATACGTAGGTTAATACAAGACTTTATTTCTTTACCTTCTCAAAAAGACAACTAACTTCTTAAAGCAAAACTTTTGACATTATGTCATAAGGTTTATAATATATGCAAGTGTAAGATATACAGAAACAATGACACATAGCAGCATTACACCAAGAATGTAAGGCTAGTTGGAATTCGAAAATGTCAATCAATCAATGTAATTCATTACATTAACAGGAGAAACACCATATGGTTATCTCAGTAGAAGCTGAGAGAGCATTTGATAAAATTGAACTGGTAACAGAAGGAAATTTCCTCAATCTAATAAAAGGTGTCTATGAAAAAGCTGTTTTACTGGTGAAATATTGAATACATTCTCCTTAAGAGTGTGAAAAAAGAAAGAACGTGTCGACTCTCACCACTTCTGCTCAACATTGCACTGGACCTTGCAAGGACCTATCCTTGTAATAAGGCAAGAAAACAAAATAAAAGGCACAAAAAGGTTTATTGCCTTCATCCACAGACAAGACGATTGTTTACAAAGAAAATCCCAAGAATCTGCAAAACGACTACTATAACTAATAGGTAAATTTAGCAAGTTCGCAGAACACAAGGTTAATATTATAAAAATCGATTGTATTTTTATATATAGCTGTAAATAATTGGATACTGAAATTATTTTTAAGTTCCAATTTCAATAACGTCAAACTACATAAAATACTTAGGTATAAATTTAACAATGATACATATATCCTCTGCACCGAAAACTGCATAACATTGCAGAATGTCAAAGAAAAATTAAATAGAAAAATATAACCATATTTATGGGTTGTGAGATCAATATTGCTAAGATGTCCATTCTCTGCAAATTGATCTATAGATCCAACACAATCTCAATTAAAATTTGAACAGACTTTTTATAGGTATAGAATAAAGTACATAGAAAGAGGTGACTCTAAAATTTATATGAAAAGGCAAAGGACCTAAAATGGCCAAAACTACCTTGAAAAAGGAGAATAAATTTGGATGATTCACACTATTTAATTTTAAAACTAACTATAAAGCTATGGTAAGCAAGCAGGGTGGTACTGATGTAAGAATAGACAAAGAGATCGAGAATCCAGAAATAAACTCACGTATCATCAATTGATTTTCAATAAAGTCACTTGAAAAATTAATAAAAGAAATAAATGGTGATAGAAAAACTGAATAAATGTATGAAAAAAATAAACACTGAGCCATTCACACCATACACAAAAATTAATTTGGGATGGATCATAGCCCTCAATGTAAAAGCAAAGACTATAAGGCGTCTACAAGAAAATACAGGAGAAAATCTTCACAACCTGAAGTTATACAAAGTTTTCTTAGGCAAAACACCAAAAGCACTAAACACAAAATAAAATTTGATAAATTGGACTTAATCAAAAGCAAAAAGTTCTGCTCATCAAAAGGCGCTATTAAGAAAATTAAAGGACAAGGTATAGACTGTATTCAGAATACATAAAGAATTCCTACAAATTATTAGCAAAACACTAATAACCCAATAAAAAATGGTCAAAATTCTTGAGCAGACACTTCACAAATACACATGACCAATAAGCACGTGAAAAGATTCTCAGCATCTCCAGTCAGCAGAAAAATGCAAACAAAGACCACAACGAGGTTCCATTTTATACCCTCTACAATGGCTAAAGTTTAAAAGACTGATAACACCAAATTCTGACAAAGACATAGAGGAACTGGAACTCACACGTTATTGGTGGAAGTATAATAAAAAAGAAAATTGGCAATTTTTTTTTAATAAAAGCAAAAATACATTTAGCATATGGCCTAACAATTCCATTCCTAGGTATTTGTCAAGAGAAATGAAAATATGTCCATAAAAAGACTAGTCCAAGAATGTTTATAGCAGCTTTATTCATTATAGCTCCAAACTGGAAACACCCCAGAGGCTGGCTCATGAATAGGTGAATGTAAAAGCCAACTAGTGTATCTACACATTGGAGTACTACTCAGGAATAAAAAGAAACACACTACTGACACATTCATTAATATAGGTGCATCTTAATGACATATAATAAGTAAAAGAAGCCAGACACAAAAGAGTACATACTATAAGAACAGGCACAACTAATCTGTGGTGATAGAATTCAGAACAGAGTTCACCCATGGAGGGGTGGGATGGGGATTTACTAGAAAGGAGCAAAGAGATTTTAAAGAATGCAGACATTCCATGTCTTGACTGAGGAGATAATTACACGACTGTATACATTTATTAGACCCATGGAACAATGTACTTAAGCTCTGTGCATTTTGCATTGGTCTTCAACTGAAAAAAAAAAAGGAAAAGATTAAAAGATCTTTAGTTCCAACACTCAAGGCAGCTCCACCCTGGAGAACAGGACTCCCAAGCCCGTCAACACCCTTGCTGGCTCTCAACTGCCCCATGACTTATGTGAGGGAGAGAAACTGGAGAGAGGACTTGACTGAAGCAGAGGGGGCAGACGGGGGGGCATCATGTGTGATGAGGCCAGTGCCAGAAAATTGTTCATTTAGGTTTGGGCTAAAGCCAGTTTCCCATAGAAACTAACCTTTTTATTCTACTCCTCTCCCCCTGTGTCCCTTTCAACATCTTACTCTAGTTTCAAAAGTGGAAGAAAAGCCAGAAAGAAGTAAAGGGAATAAGAACAGCTCCTGACCCAACTGCAACATGTGGCTTTCCCAATGACATAAACTTGAGTCTGTGGACTGGGCAGTCTGTAAAACTTCAGAGAAAATCCTGCTGTTCCCTGGACCCACCCCCTTTCATTAAAAACACACTCACAACCTCACAGCAACTGTATGCAAGCAATGCTATTGTTAATTCTGATTTACAAATGAGAATTCTTGATACTTAGGAAAGTGAAGTGACTTACCCCAGAGCACACAGCTTAAATCCAGATATGGTGATGCCCAGTCCATGCTTTTAGCCACTGTATACTCTACTTGATGCCCTAATTTATGTAAATTCAACTGAAACCTAAAAGATGGCAGCTTTGAAAGGAAAAAGGAGTTGTAAATGGTGACATGGCCTTGGGAGGGGTTTAGTTGAGAGAATGGTGACCCCATTCTCTCTCAGCTATATTTAAGAGGTGGGTAAGACACATAGGAGCTCCAGATGCTTTTAGCACTACCTAGGTTCCCTCCAACTGTATAACTATTCAACTCTGGTCCCATATGAAGAGTCACTGTCTATACCTGCATTGTCCAAAATAGTAGCCACTAGTCACATTGGCAATCTAAATTTAAATTTCTCATAAATTAAAAATAAAAATAATAAAATTTGAAAATTCATTTTTTCACTTACACATTTCAAGGCTCAGTAGCCATCGTGCCTAGTAGTCGTTTTATGGGACAGCACAGGTCTAGTCCTTGGTCCTTCAGTCAGGCCACCCCCAAGGGCTGTGGTTTGCTGGGCCTGTGATTATCCTGCTTGTGGTGTCCACAAGATGAGGCATGCTGGTGATGGTCGGGGAAAGGATAAGAAGTGAGGGAAGTGGCACAGAGTTGATGAAACCTCAAGGGCATAAGATGAGGAGGTGGGTGGCATGATCAGTCATTCTTCTCTACAGCAAATATCCTTTCTTTTCTCTTTCAGAAGAGAGTTCTTTTTCTGACCAATGACTACTTCTTCACAGATATCAGTGACACACCTTTCAGGTGAGAAACGCATGTTTTATTTACAAGGGCACAAGGTGGGTGGAACATGAATACCATCAACTCAGGGTAGAACTTTCAGGTCTGGGGATAGATTTATCCATAGATAGTTGGCAATTTTATGATAACAGAAAAAGATCAAGGTCTGCATTCAGAAAACTTGAGAGGTCTAGACCTGCTTTGCCAGCATAGCCTAGTATGCAGAGTCTAGAACCAAACTGCCTGGATTAGAATCCCAACTTCACCACTTACCAGCTGTGTGAGCTTTGTCAAGTTACTTAACCTCTCTGTGCGTTAGATTCCTCATCTGTAAAATGGAGGTAATGATAGTAGCTACTTCTTGGAGATATTGTGAGGATCAAATGACATGTCTACTTAAAGATCTTAAAGCATGCAATTGTAAGCAATTGTTAGATGAAATATCAACTTTGCGGTCTCCTAGGTTCCCTCCAACTGTGTGAATGTTCAACTCTAGGCAATATACAGATTAGGAAACAAATAGCCCTTATCTTTGAATTACTTCATTTCTCAATAAAGTGTGGTCCCCAGCCATGACTGCTTTTTAGAATACCTGAAGAATTTTATAAACTTGCTAATGCCCACACCCCATCCAAACTAATTCATACAGAATTTCTGCAATGGGGCCCATGCACTAGTACCTTTTAAAGCTCCCTAAGTGGTTCAGATATTCAGCCAAGGTTCAAAAGCAATATTCGACCAGGAAAGAGAGGAAGGCATGGTGGGATTTACCAGGTGGGAAAGAACTCCCCTATTTGTGGGGCCCTGTGAGACATAGAGACCTTTCCACATTTTAGGGCATCCCTGAGTGGTTCAATGTATCTTAATTAAAATGGGAACTGAGGGGAATCTTTAACCTATAGAATTTCCAGGGGCCTTCTCAGGAGGAAAAGTTGATGAAAAAATAGAAATGCTGCCTTAGTTCTAGAGGGGACAGCTTGTAAGGCCAAGGGCAAAAGGGTGCTTGGTGTGTATGACACTCGTCATGGATATGGAGAGCTCATAAATTTAGTGAAGGACAGGATGTGGACTGGGACATTGACTTGCAGTTGCTGGTGATGAGGACGTGGGTTCTCTGCTCTCCCCACAGTTTGGGAGTGGTGCTGTCCCAGGGCCACGGAGAATACATCCTCCTGGGGAACACATCTGTGGAAGAAGGTGGGTCAGCTCCAAGTCCTGACACAGTTTAGAGGAAAAAAATGGTTGCTCCTGGGATACTGGGCAGGGCCAGCCAGGGGCAGAGCTAATCTGACAGCATTCCAGGTCCTGGGCTTGAGAGCAGATTCTCAGAGCAGGGCTATCTGGCAAAGAGGGGTCTGTGTGTCCCAGGTACCCAGGGTATGCAGGATCAGCCAGTCAGTCACCAAAACCAACAGAGCCTAAGACTTGCCAATTGTGCATTGTCAGATTCTGGGAAGCTTTGCTGGGCCAGAGGGGCCTCACGGGGCTGTTTCTCTGAACAGAGCTGAATTTTACCTGTCAGAAGACTTACAGAAGGCATGAGAAAGAAGGCGGGAAGAGTGAGAGAGCAGATCTATAGCAGTTTGCTCCAGCTGCTGTAACAAAGCACCACAAACTGGGTGGTTTAAACAATGGAAACTTATTCTCTCACTGTTCTGGAGCCCCTATCACTTCTAGGGCAGGATCCTTCTTCTCCAATTCTAGCTCCTGGTAGCCTCAGGTATTCCTTAGCTTACACTGCAACTCTTAAATTTCTGCCTCCATCATCACAAGGTTTCTCCCCTTGCATCTCTATTTTCCCTTCTTCTAAGGACACCAGGCAACTTGGATTAGGGCCCATCCTAATGACCTCGTCTTAACTTGATTAACTCTTCCAAGACCCTATTTCCATATAAGGTCACATTCACAGGGGATTAACACTTCAACATATCTTTTTGGAGGACACAATTCAAACCATGACAGGGAGCTTATGAGAGTGAACCTAAGAGGGGTTGCAGGAAATGGCAGAGGAGGTTAGGACAGAAGGGCCTCACCGCACCTGACCCCACCTGCTCATGACCGGCAGCTGCCTGAGCACCTTGAGAGAACAAAACCTATACCTAGGGTTCATGGATATCTCAGGAAGTCCTTGGACAATGTGGTCACAATTCTATTTAAAGCCCACATTCCGTGCATTCTTCCTTTACCATCCCTTGAATGTATCTCATCTTTCCATCTCTCTGCCACTGCCCTAGTCATTGTCACCTCTCTCCTGGAGACCACAGCGGCCTCCAACTGGTCTCCCTGCCTCTTCCTTTCTCTGAACTTCTTTCTGCCAGAGGGAGTGTTCTAGAAATGCCAAATCAGATTATGTCACTGCTAAAGGACCATCAACATCTTTCTGCTTTTTTTTTTCATTTCTCCACATACTAAGCTTCAAGGTCTTCCCATATGCCACATTCTACCCTGCAATGCTGTCCTCTCCACTCCCCACCCTCTTATGCCAGCTAACCTGGACCTACTCTTCAGATCCCAGTGTAGATATCACATTTTTGGGAGCTGTCCCAGACGGACTTCCTCTCCTCCACCCAAGCTGGGTTAAGTGCCCAGCTACATGCTACCACGTAACCTCTGTATTCCTCCTTTAACACTGGAATGCTCTC